CTGCAGCGGAGTTTAGGCCCAGACACGGCTAGTGACGTCAGACTTAACGACCAGATAGGAGTTCAGTCAAGTTTAGGTCTGGTCTTTGACATCTTGGTTCTGTTCTTTTTCAGCCATTTCGCTGTAGATTTGCTGGTGTCTTGGAAATATTATTATTATTGTCCCGTTGCACAACCCACTTTTGCCCAAGTTTATTTGTCACACAGAAGCTCCCACATTTGACTCTAGAATATGTGTGAGTTCAAGGTCAACTCAGGGACTGCAAAGTGCTCAGGTCCTGTGGCTAAAAAAACTAGCCCAAATCAACATGCCTCCACCACCATGCTTGACAGCTGGCTTGATGTGTTTGTGCTGACATGCTGTGTTTGGTTTTTGCCAAACATATTGGTGTGCATTAAAGCCAAAAATTTCCACTTTCATCTTGTGTGTCCTTTGGACACACAAGATGCAAATTTAACCTTTTTTTTCTAATTGTATTGTCATGAGCATTATAATTTATTGAGCTAACTGAGGCTTAAAAAGTCTGAGATGTAGCGCTTTGGTTTTTTGTGGTCCTTTGGAAATAGGCTCATTACCTTCTCAAACAAATGGGGAGGATATAAGACTGTAATGAAGTAGCAACTGTTTCTTAAAGATCATTGCTAATGTCTTTCTTCCTTGGCTTTGTGTTAAAACACCTGAATGCTTCAGACCCACAAAACTGCTGCTTTTACTCAGGTGCTCACACTTTTTGATGATCAGTTAATCAAGTGTATTTGATTAGCAGCACCTGATTGCTTCTCACCCTCTTAAAGCAGTAAAGGTGTTTTTGTTTTTTTCAGTTCCTGCATTTTGGCTTATTTTTGGTTAAATAAATAATGACATAGTGAAATATGTCACATGTTGTTCATCTGAGAGTGTCTTTTTTCCCATTTCAAAATCTGCTAAGGACTTTTTTATTTTGTCCCAATGTGTAAAATCTTACTATTGAAAGAGGGTGTACTTTCTTTTTACCATACCTGTACACCAGTTATCATTACATCTGTACAGCAACCCATTTTAAAAAAATTAACACAGGAGAGTTTTTGCAGCGACAGTGATCACACACATGTGAATGGTATCTCAAGAACAAAAGCCACATTAAGGTGCTTTAGTAAGCAATGATTCATGAAATTTCACTACATGTAATCAACAGATTCTACTGGAGACAGGAATTAAAAAGAAAATAATAAAATAAGCCAAGTGCGGTTGAAGTAGTCATATTGATTGTGTGTCTTGTGTGCTTCAGGTTTTCAAAATTGGCATCCCATGTACACCTGCACATATCTAGGCAGTAACAACGTTTTATGTCTTCTATCCAAAGACTGTGGGTAAACAAAGTTGATAGGAGTGCTTCCTGCACAACACAATTTATTTTCCTCACATTAAAAGAACTGTAAACCTCTCTCGTAAAGCAGGCCATTAGCTGTCTACTAGTGTGCTTCGCGGTGCTTTGTACAGCCAATTTACATATTAATGTGCTCACTCTCACTTTCACATGCTAACATAAAACAAAGCCCACATACAGTCATTGAGAACAAAAAAATACAGATTGTAGAAAATAAAAAACAAAAATCACTTAGACATCAATTGGCGATTCATTTGTTCGAAAGATATTGGGGAGCTAGGAATTATTCATCATTCATATAGGCGGGCCATAGTGCTTTCTCCTATCCATTGCTTAACCTAAGTGGAAAATGGGCCTGGATCCTAAAGGGCCATCATAAAAAAAAACATTTTATAGCCCAATTATTGAAGACTATGTTACCGGTACAGTTCCTCCATTTTTTTCTCGAAGTGGTTTCTGCTCATTTATTTGCATCCGACTGGCCGTCCACATCGCCTTTGCTTTACTCTTTCTCAGTAGCTCCCATTTCTTCATGTTTTCTTGTTTTCCTCGCCATGTCAGAACTGAAAAGAAGGAGCTCTCAGGTCCCTGAGTGGTTTCCAGACATGTATGAGGCTAGTATCCTCCCCCACACTGCATCACCACTCCAATGATAAGCAGGGTCTTTGGATAGAAATTGTCTCTTTGAGTTTTAATAAGGCCGACAGTTGATGGGATCTACTTTTTTTTTGCTGCATAAATAATTCAAAACTACACTTTATCACGGAAATATGGTTACATTACTTAAAACTATGGCCCCGGTGATTGAAGAAAGTCATTTCCTTTTGAATAACTCAGCTTTTTTTATGTCATTTTTGGTGTAATTGCATTTACTTTTCTAAAACATACCTTTTCTCTGCCTACCTTTCTCCCTCTCTTCTTTCTGACTTACAGAGGATGAGCTGCAGCTACCTGCTCTGCACTATCCTTCTCTTCGTGGCTGTATTGCTGGCTGTCACTGTAACTGGCACCATCCTTTTCATGAATCACTATCAGGCTCCACCCATGTCTGATGGCCTACCCCACATTTCTACCAACCAGGATGAAGCCAATGCCCTGGTCACTGTTGAGAGAGGCGATGGCTCTCGCATTAACATCTTCATTGACCCCAACTGTCCGGATTACAACAGTAACTTTATGCGACTGGAGGGTGTGCAGACCTCATTGCTCCACTCACTGACTGACCACGACTCCGACTTGAAGTCTGTGAAAGGACAGGATCGGGCTCTGCTTGTCAGTCTGGCTGAGGAGGTGGCCAAGCTGTCAGCCCACGCAGGTCAACTGAAAATGGACTATGAATCTCTACGCAGGGGGCAGAGCAGCCTCGGGCAAGACCTTAACACACTGCAAACGGAACAGGGACGCCTCATACAGGTGAGACGCATAAGCAGAGAAACATTCCTTATACCTCAGTGTGATGTAAAGATCAATATCTCTTTGATCACAGCTTTTAGTTGAAGTATAAATATATGAAACCATCCAGAGTAGTAGGCATCTTCAATTTTTTTGTACTTATTTTGGCACATAGAAGAGTAGAAAGGGTTTTATTTCTTAAGAAGAAAGGGAAATTCACGCAGTTTGTGGGAAAACTATCAGTTTTGATTGTTTGTTTGGTTGTTGTTGTTGTTGTTTTCTTAATCAATGAACCAATTTGTGAACTGTATTTAAAGCAATGCTCCTAAACCCTTGGGAAACACCCAAGTCCTGACTTTAAGTACTGTACTGAGGTGTTCAAGGACTGGATTGTGACACACCTATCAATATGTATCGATTGTGACACCACCTTCAGGAGCGTGTGACAGCATTGGACTTTCTGGTGTTATTTAGTTACTTCCTTTTCCCGACTAGAGAATCCCAACACCATCACTGACTAATCAAATGCCAAGTAGACTGTGTCAATTTCTTTTTAGACTGTTAAAGCCAAATAACAGCTAATTTGAAGTGCAAATAGGGCTCATGTTCCACTGGGTACAACTCGCTCACTGTAGTGTTTGAAGACGAGGTCACGGGGGGAGGAAAATGCCCATCATGGTTCAAGAAACAGCAAACAAATTTGCACATTAATGCAGTAAAACAACATAATGTTTCCCAATGTGTAAGTCAGACTGAGCATTGGATGTAAACATAATTAGACACCTTTTAGTTTCGACTGTCCACATTGATTTATTGATGATACATTTCCCAAATGTGCGTGGAGAATCTTCACACTACATGGTCTTTTAATTTTGGCCCATCAGGCTCAGTCTCTCTACTCTGCAGTAAATAGATTTCATAGCTGCCAGCCATATAGCTCAAACTACTGAATTCATTCTCCTTCTGCCAGTCCCCTTTCTTTTTCTTTTTTTCTTTCTTTTCTTTTTCTTTTTTTTTTGTTAAGCCAGACCTTTAAAGCTCACAGATTAACATTGTATAAAAATCACCCAGAAACTCCCTAGATGAGTCTGCTCTGGACCTGTTGGCTAAGAAAACATGGGTGCTGATTGAGCACACAAAGAGAACGAAAAACGGTCCATTGCCTTTGCTCCTGTTAATTTCTGGTGTGGGTGGCATCGTGCAGTGGGTACTGAGGCTAAGTGGAGGTGGTACTAGCAGCTTAGACACTCCAAGTGATTGATTTCCTCTTTGGAAGCAAGGCATGTGGTGCGCACATCCGCTGTTTCTGCCTGACACTGTGGTGTGACTATGTGATCTATGGGCCACCTGTGGCCAAGACGTCTGATTTATACGATGACACAGAGCTGACTGTGCCAGTGTTAGTAATGGCTCTGTGTGCACTGCAAGCCCCCTGAAGAACAGTTTCACCCAGCTACACAGGGAGAGGCCCTTCCACATCACCTGATGTACAGGGAAATGTGATTGCAGCGGGTTTAGGACCAATCTTTTTCGATCATTGAAAAACTGACATTCATTTTTCACAGTAAGTGCTTGCAGCCTCAAATAGAAAGGTAGGCCAAAGCCCCCGTATTTGCATCCAAATAAATCACTGTGATGGGAAAGGCTCGTGAAATATAGGGATATGGCAATGAGGCAATACATCCAGCTCATGGTCAGGTTTCAGCACGAGCAGAACACAGGCGGTACTTCTCGTTAGTTCAATTTTCTTTGCTTAATTTGAAAAACGTAGCTAAATTTGACCACGTTTACTGTGCTGCAGTGTTACTCTAATCTAAAAACTTTAATTGGGAATTTAAGATTTAGAATTGTGAGCAATGACGTTTTGACCACCTGATAATGAATGCACATATCCATAACACTCTGTTCATTAGCCCATGTTCACATTTTAGATAACTGATTATTTAGATGTGCGTGCATAACAGGCTGCTAGCATAACACACCTGGAGCAAGAGCAGATAAACTACAAGCGAGGCAGTCGAAAACTCTGCAGTTCTGCCTCTGAACACTTTTGCTGGATGTTTTGACAGATTTCTCATGTTCCCACCTTTACAAGCAAAAGACCTGTTGCATTTGTGACAACACTGTCGGCATCGACTCTAGCAAAGTGCAACCGCACTTTTGAGCATTTCATTCTCTCCTCCATCTGCACAAAGACCAGGATCTGTGTGGTATGTGCGAGACAGAGCTCCCCTCGCCCCTCATATGCAGGCTCTGAGAGAGATAAAGAGACAACTGTCCTCGGGATAGGGAACAGGGGAAATGCCTTGGATTAATGGCTTAATCAGTAACAGAGGAGGTCAGATAAAATGTGAAAGATAACTTTTATGTACCAATAGTAAATCTATTTTCTTAATTTTTTTCAGTATTGAAAATAATACAGATAACATTGGAGCTTACTGATACTTAAATCATTTTGCCCTGGAGCCTGTTTAATATCAGATTTCAGTACCCATTCCCATTTAGCATCATATTTGTGTTGCTGATCAAATACAGTTGTTAGGATAGAATGCCACTGTTTCTGTTGTTTTTAGGCACAAATAATCCTGGTATCCTGTTAAATTAACACTCTCTATTAATGTTACAGACACGCAGGAATGATAATGTTAGCTGCCAAGGCTCCAATGTTAACATTATTGTTTTATTACTGAGCTGTAGCCTTTGGCAGCTACCTTAATGATAAAAGACAGCTAATGTTACTGTCAGGCAATTGCGAATGGTGAAATGAGTAAAATTAACGTGTCTGGCAGTCAGGTTAACGTTAATGATAACTATTTAATACTTCAGTGTTGTTGAAATGGGAGCTTTACTGACCTCTCAGAATTCCTCATGAAGAGTAACTCAGTGTTATGAGCCTCAGCTACTTCAGCTGCTAGTGAGGGGAGGGGCTGTGCACCTCACTGCCCACAGTGGTGCTATGTGAAGTTGTCCGTTAGCTGGAGGAAGAGAAGACTATCATAAATTAGTATCTAAACTGGTCGTCCATTAGTATCTGAGAGGTGATTTTTCTTTGACAACCCAGTTGCTTACTTGTTCAGAGTACGGCAGTGAGTATTCATTTGGTAAATATTTAAGGGCCATGAACAGAACCCTGGTGGACTCCAGTTTGCTTCATTGCTGAAATTCACATATGCAGTGAGGTGATGCCTATAACTTCTAGCTACAGCTTCATTCAGACACATGTGATTTATTACTTTCATTGGTGTGGCCTCACCAGCCTCAATGCTATGATGTTATAAAAAGCCAGAATGAATACTGTCAGAAAGGTTACATTTCTATTTAGGCCTTTATTACACATACACATAAAGGTGTCACACCAAATTACTTATCTGTAGGTTTAAGCTTTACGTACTAAAAAATATAACTATAGCGCTTAATATTCTTGCACCCTTTTCTCAAGCGCCAACTCGCTGATTTTGCCTTCTGTCATTTATATAACATAGCTGTAAGCTGTAACTGAAGATTACACTTCTGGTTACCGCAGGGACCAAAAGTCAAGCTAACTTTTTAGTTCTTATTGTAAATTACCCAAGTCCCAAAGCACTCCAGTCCAACACCCTCACACTACTGCAGTGTAGATCTTTATTTCCTATGAAGTGTTCTTACCGTCAGGGGTTGTCTCCATTAATCTTTTTTTTTTTGTATTAAGTTAGAACCTGTCAGCAGCGGTATGAATTACATTAAACATTTTTAATGTATTTTATTTTTAGATCTGCCCAGCAGTAGCAGCCCTGTTCATAAGCATAAGCTATGATGTACAAAGTAACCATAAAAACTGAAGGCTATGGCCCATTAACAGAACTCCAGCACCCACAAAATGAGCCTAAATATAATGTTTGGCACTATTTATGACTGCAGAAACTCAATGAGGAAAAAGCAACAAGGAAGAGTATGACTTGCTGATATCCTTGAACCACAGGTCACAGTTTAAACTGAATTATGTGCTTGTGAAATTTTAATGTTGTTGACAAGCAAAACTCACTATCTGTCACAATCTGGTTGTAGGAACTCAGGCGCAGAGCGGTTAGACATCTCCAAAAAACAGTTTATTTACAGCACCAGTGCACAGTATATACAGTGAAGGGAATCCAAAACTCCAGGGAATCACAGGGTAGCTCTCTCACACTCGCTCACGTCTTTTCGCCCACACTCACACACGTTCACACGGCAGGGAGGTCACAGGTCCGGGGAGGAAGGTCTGAAGCAGAAGAGAAGGGAAGTCACAAACTAATCACGAATCTCAAATTACTAAGCACAAGTTCACAGGAGCTGCGAGAAACATTAACGTCAGTAGTACAATCATCCAGCGACGAGAGGATCTGTGTTCCAGCCTCAAATAGTGCTCCCGGTGATGACAGGTGATTGTTGTCAGGTGTGTGGGCCAAGGGCGGGAGCCCACAGTGAGCTCCGCCCAGGCAGAGAGGGAGAGAGAGAGAGAGAGAACCAAAACAGCACATGTAGCCTTGTGGGGCCGGCCGGGCAGGCACGGAGACCATGACACTATCTCTGATAATGATCAAAAAAAAAAAACAATGAGGAAAAAGCAACAAGGAAGAGTATGACTTGCTGATATCCTTGAACCACAGGTCACAGTTTAAACTGAATTATGTGCCTGTGGAATTTTAATGTTGTTGACAAGCAAAACTCACTATCTCTGATAAGGATCTCGGGCCAAACCACTGCTAGTGTAGAAAACCGTATTGCTCAAGATGTTCATTAAAGTTGATGCAAGTACTGTAAATAGCTGAGGAGTTTAATATTTTCTGCCAGAAATAAGATTTAAAGAGCTTGAAAACCTAAAGCCTCAGTCACAATCAGTAAAACAAAGACTAGTAATTGGTTGGTTATTGATTGCGGAAGGCTGCCAGCTGTCGTTGGATCAAATCAGCTACAAAGAAGGCGCCATACTAAAATCCTCCTTGTGATTTGGTCTCTCACAAATTGCATAGATGACACTTAACTTCTCGTAAACATGCGTTAAC